CCAAGCTTCGAGCGCGATTCAAGGTCCATCGGCTTCATCGCGCGCTTCACATATAGTACAGTTTTTAAAAACTCGTCAGCAAGGACCGTGACGTAGAAATCCCGTAGACCACCAGGGCGATTGAGGAAGAGTTTTGCCAAGCAGGCAATCGAACTTTGCACTGTCTCACAGCTACAAAATTAAACAACATTTAGAGATTACCTCGTGTAACGTCTAATTTTTCCAGACTTTTATTTGAACAAGTTCTACCTTCTTGTTTTTTCGACATTATTCTAACAACGTGTGGTGGTAAGACTGGGTGATATCATAAACTATTTATCTTCCTGTTCTCTAAATTTGTCAAAAACTCATTACAACTGAGAAATGTTCAGTACCGAATCCCTTGTTTCAGAGGTTGAAGGTATAGAGTATAATGATGCTTGACGCATCTGGACCTACTTAAAGAAATCTGTGTTTTATTACTCAAGAATCATTAGTTGAAAATTGCAGGGTAGTTATAGGAAAGTGCTTCACCAGCCGAAGCGGCCCTCAGCACAAGAGATAACAACAACAATAATAATAATAATAATTTCTTGTATAGCACTAATTCCGCCTAAATCGACGCTCTATAGGCGCTTTACATAATCAAATCGTTAAAATGATCAAATGCCAGCCCATTTAAAGAACATGGCATATAAATTCAATTTTTTTTAAGCATTGCTGCTCTAAATGGTTAGACGGGGAGACCGTTGTTCCTCTTATGGTTTATTAAAAGCAATCCATGATTCTCTTCTTCTTAATCGGGATCGCTCCCAGGTAGATGATAAGAAGGCCGCTGACGCGATGCCTATTTTATAGTGTACGACACTGACTGATTAATTTGGTTTACACAACTTATACCGCCGTGGTTCCGCTTTCGAAGAAAGCTCACATCCTTGTTGAGAACGCTGAGGAATTAACAGGGAAAAAGGGTTGTCGTGGAGACCATAAAACGTCCGAAGCACAATGGCTCGTGTCCACGATTTTACATTGAGCATGTGCGAATGCAGGAGACAGTGCACATAACCTCTTCCCTGCCTTGTCACCTTTCAAGCGGGATCGAGGCCCTACACGGAATTCGTGCGGGGATGCTCGCACGAGTTGACATTCTTCAGGCTTGAGATGCTGAGTAGGCTCTGTCTTGCAACTGGCTGTTTTTAAAGAGCAGCGTTTACATACCAGTTACACCGGATCAACGTTAAACTGTTCTACGCACACTACTGCAGCAATATTCAAACACCGGCTTCGGATTTCTGAATTTGACGGTACCGCTCACTTGTGACCCAGCTGCACTTTGCATTGGACATTTTTCACTCTCTTCAAAGCCGGTTTGCCTGTACCAAAGAAGAGTTTGATCTAGGCCTAGTCAACGGCTTCAGTTACATTGTGCTTTCATTTGTCGTGTGGCTCGCTAAAACTGCACCGCTTCACAAGCAACGTTATTATGGCAAAACGAATGCGTGCATGGCTACCTACCTGATGAAGCAAGCGCCAGCCAGCAGGTGAGTATTGCTTTATTTCATTTCTTGATATAATTTGTGCTGTACGTGCATTTTTCTGTGAAAAAAAATGTCGCTTCCCAGTCGAACATTAAACGATGACATTAAGGAGAACATGACTTTATCAATTTTTAACCAGAGTTCCATCATCTTAGTGGCAGTCGTGTTTGATATGTTTGCAATCTAAAGTCGCCCCCTTGACCAAGCATAATATAAACGATGACGTTGTCACCCTGGGTAGTATACCTCTGATGAAAGTCTAAAATTAATTTTTGACTCCATTTGCGATGGAGGGTATGATAAATTTAGGGAAGATCGTTTTGTTTTTTTTTGTAAAGGATTAATTCATTCTGAACGAAATCGTGATTCAATCTATCAAAACATCGTCGTCGACATGTTATGTTTGGGATGACCGTCACTTGGTTCTGCTTTACTCAGTTTAAAGAAAGTGCCGGTTGACTCGAACATAACTTCGTTCTTTGAGATCTTTATTGTTTTTTTCCTGAACGTTGATGAGGATAAGGAAAAACAGGTACAATTCTATAGCGTCTAGGTTTCAAGACATTGTAATAATCAAGGGGTAAACATGCAAAGTTACAAGAGAAATTTAACGTTTTGTTGAGGCGCAGATTTAGAATTATGTTTGTACCCAGCCGCGTGTTACTTTTGCGTGGGCGCGGTTCTAGAAACATACATGTGTGTGTGTGTGTGTGTGGGGGGGGGGGGCTTAGACCCTTCACAAGTGATGTCACCTTTTCGCTTTCGCTACTGCTTTTCCATCATCTTTTTCATTTTTGCAAAGGAGGCTAGACAAACTTTTCGGCAGAATACAGCCCCCTAGCCCTTCCCCTGTACCGGCCTGCGTTTGCGTCGCATTTAGGCCAATCTGATTATTTCAGACATAGATTGATGTAATTGTAATTTAGAATTAAAAGGAAAAGCCAGGCGACGAGCGGCGAGACAGTTGGAACAGAAAACTAAACTCCTATCCAAACACGATCGTGCGTGAATGATTGACCTTTAATGAGCTGAGTCTTCCTCTACACGTCGTGTCTCCTGTTGCGCCTTCCAATTTTCCTGTTTCTTGATTAAGCCCTGCTGTTATTTGTTAGAACATCAATCTACTCTTAAAAATGGGTCCTTAATCAACACATCTGAGTAGTTATGGAAAACACATTTCAGTCTACTTCTGTACGTATTTCCGCATCGATTCCAGATTCTCCACAATTTGGGGCTGTATTGAATGCTAATAGTTTGATTTTTTTTCAAGTGTTAAAATATTCTTTAAATCTGATCCCAACAGTTTCCAGCTGATAAGGAAAGCGTCAGCGTGAGGAGTGCATGGTTTAAATTCAAGCGCTGGTTTCAATGGTGTTAATATTACTGACAATGAACGGCACTACACAGACAGACACTGACCCTCATAGTCTTGGGCCAGAAGGAGACTTTCCACTGGTGGCCCTGAAAGCTATCTATGCCCTCATAGGAATTGGCGGTTTCCTGGGCAACGGACTGGTGTGCGTCGTCCTCCGGACCCAGAAACGGTCCTTCCGGTCGGTGACCAACCTGCTGATCCTGAACCAGTCCGTCCTCGACCTGTTCAGCACCGCCATTTTCCTTCTCCTCCGCCTTCCCCCCGCCATCGACCGTCTCCCGGACACGCTGCTCGGGGAGTTGGTCTGCCGGCTGTGGGTGTCGGAGTACTGCATGTGGTCTCTCATCATCGCTTCGACAGTCAACCTGGTGCTGGTGTCCCTGGAAAGGTACTTCGCCACCTGCTTCCCCGTCAGGCACCGGTTCCACTTCACCGCCCGCAAAGCCAAGGCGGGCATGGCTTTTTCCTGGCTCTGGGGCTTCACCTACCAGCTGTATTGGCTGATCATCCGGGACTTCAGGGGTGGGGTGTGTGACGTGTCGTGGTCCAGCCCCACCCTTCAGATGGTCATGGGCGTGGTTTTCTTCGTGCTTGAGTACCTCCTGCCCCTGAGCATCATGACGTTGGCATACACGAGCATCATCTTATTGCTTCGGCGCCGCCGCAGACTGGGCGGAATTGTTGTCTGCAACGTTTTCCAGCGCGCCAAACGCAACGTGACAGTTACGTTGTGTTTAGTGTTCATCTTCTACGTGTTGTGCTGGACACCAACGTCGGTGACGTACCTGCTATACAACTTGGGCTTTCCGTACGATTTCAACAGCACAATGCACATGGTGGTGACGGTTATCGTGATCTTGAATGCGTGCGTCAATCCCATCATCTACACGTTAAAATATGAGCAATTCCAAAGACAGCTGAAGATCATTTTCTGCTCGAGGTCATGCAAGAGAAACCGTGTCGGTGCACTCTCGGCAGATGACGATGCTCGACCAAGGAACCAATTAAGAAACATCTCACAACATGTGCCTAATTAGCTTCCCAACTCTGCCTGATCAGGGTTTGTTTGTTTTTTTTGGGGGGGAGGTGTCCTCGGCATTGGATGAAAAAAACCTTGACTTTTTTTCTGTTCTGTACGAGTTGCTATGTATGTAGAGCATAATAATGGCATCTTCAGCAAGGTTTATAGGAGAAACTATAACAAAATGTTTATGTACATTTAGTGCAGATTGCAAGAAACATGTCTCAGTTCCCTTGACAGAAAAAATAGACCTTCAAAACCAATTTAATCCTTCAAGAAAGCTCCACAAAATTGGTTTGTTAAGTATGTGAATTTGGAAACAGATTACAAGACAACAACGAGGATCAAGAGCTTTCGAAAGAAACATGATCCGAAGCAATCTGTGGAGAGATTATAAGGATCAGATGAGGAGACCGGAACTGGCGCATGAAATAGAGCAAACCGTAATCACGGGCAGAGATATGATCGGAGAATTTGTAGCTAACGAAGGCGGGGAAATAAGATGGCTTTGTGGCCTATCTTGCTTTCTGATCAGCCCTGAGTGCTTAGATCTACGCATCGTTGTTGTTCGTCTACGTGTTAAGAGCCGGTTGTTTTCTTTAGTGTTCGGATCAATTGTGATGCCGTCAGCGTATAGCAATTCCTGTCAGCTTACCGCATAACGCGATGCATTTCAACCTTAGTAGAGGAAGAAATAAAAAAAAAATTTTTTTGTCGTAGCATGCAAATGTACAAATACATTTCCTTGCCTAAGAAATTGACTGCTTTGAATTCAGAGTTTGCCATGGTAGAATGATTTCAATGGCCTTACAACTAAAAACGTCCAACCTTGGATGCTTGAAAGTTAGGACTTATCGAAAACAAATTCACAGTTTACACAAATGGAGCCTTGCCGCGGTGTCATTCATGTTCAAACTGTAAAAAGGCCGTTTTGAAGTATGGATCATCCGAATTTGCTACACCCCTTCAAAGTTTCCGCACAGCTATATAGACAAATCGTCTCTACACTAACCTCGGCTCTATTGACCGTCCCCCTCGAGCATTCGACAGGAAATTAATGAATGACAATTGTGTAAAGAAATTTGACAGTTAAAGTCCAAGGAGGGCTGCTTCCTTTTTTCGCTAAGTGTGGAAAGGCAAGGTTTTCTATTCCCTTCATCGGAAATTAGACATTACAGACGAAGAGTCCTGTCAGATCGTTGAAAATGGTTGCAGAAATTCATTTGGGCAATATGTCGTTCTAAACATTCGTGACGGCTACAAAGGCTTCGATGAAGAGAAATTGATTTTCAGTAACATCTTTAATCTGGGTACGGGTACCACCCCCTTCGCACCATGTGTATGCGTGTGAGCGACGTGTGAATGACGGCGACGGCCAGCCGATTTTCAAGGGTCACGTGATATATTTTCAACTGTGAATATCGGTTCCAATCCAAATGACGTCAAGATATCTGCATACCTTCAGCATATGCGTGAAAATTGTATCTTTCAAATTATTGGGCAAACAAATCATTAAAATATTTATTGTAACATTCAAGGCAAAGCATCAATGTACTTCAAGTATCAGACGTGTTCCTTTGGTGACATCAATTTCAATAACATTGAAAGACCTTTTAAATTCACCGCGTGTGACTATATTTGCATGGCAGTCGATTTTGGTCCGCGTGGTCTCGAACTGCACGGAGTTCAATGACCCGACAGCGAGATGTATCTGCTTCTGAGCCCTATTACCTAAAAATAGGACAAAAATTGAAAATCTATGCAGATGTGCAGGCTTTGCTAAACGGTACTATTTCCAAGCAAGCAGTCGCCAGAGGGAAGAGTTCAGGAAATTCAGTAAATGCGCCACGAGCCACTTACAAATTTAGCAACTCCAGATAACATTGATGGTTGAACACATTGTCTCATCGCCGGTAACCATTTCGCTTTTTGGCTGAGATTGCCACCTTTCTAAACTTATCTAGTGGTTGGTCCATTTGTTACACTCCACAACTGCTTGAGCCAATAGTGGTTTAATGTCAATCATAGAATACGAAATGTGCCAAGTTATATGTTTACCAGACGTGGACGGTCCTTTTACCCCAGCGCTGCAGCAAGAAACCTCTCGCTGCTCCTGGGTGCATGCATTTTGCTTGGACCAATTATGATTGATCAGCGAACAGCCATGCGAGAGTGTCCGTAGGGTAATACATGTATACCGTTGGGTGTTGTTCCCCCGCTAATTGCTCGAGACACAAGAGGAGAAGTGTCCTCAATCTCCTCTCGTTATGTTAATTAACATGGTAAGTGACGTAGTTTGTTTTTCATCTTGTTGTCAATGAAGCTAATATGAAGCGTCTGCGACAGGATGATCTATCCGTGCCGTTTCAACATTTCAAATTCGAACCATAAACAGTTATACAACCAGCCGTGCGATCATTGCTGTTTTTTTTTGTTTTTGTTTTTGTTTTGGAAAATTTTCCCTCTGTATGCTAGGAAGGTCTCTGAAACTGCTTCAGAAAACAAACAAGCAAACTCCCCAACTCTCCAACAATCCACATACAAACAAGCAAAAACAATAGACTGGTATATGAAAAGGGTTGCCCGTAGTGTGCCATTGCCAAGGGGGCAAGATACCGCAATTCAAATCGTCCACTTTGTAAAATGTGTTGGTGTAATTTGGCGTTTCTTGCGACAACTGCCGAGTGACTGTGCAGTGACGCAATTTAAAAAAAGAAAGAAAAAAGTATATCAAGGGGTCATCGCAACTTGCACGCAAAGTAGATCGGGATCTTTTCTGGTGACCCTTCGCCAAGCTTGGTATATTCATAATTCACATTTTCATAACCGGTTTTTCTGTTATGTAGCTATTACATAATCAAAAAGGTTAAACACTCTCCTTTCCCCCACTGGATTGAAGCAACTGATCAGCCGCATCGACAATAACATCACGTCACAGACAGAAGATGAAAAAGGCACGTTTCCGATTGCCTGCTGACTCCCTCCGGCGCCTCCGTTTCATTAATAGATAAGTGTGTATTTCACCCGCCATAAGCATTGCCACTATGAGACGAAATCTGACTTGTCATTTTTCACGAGGACCGCCGCTGGTATTCTGTGTACAGTAAAAGCAGGCAAGTAGCGTGCGTGATGTGCGCTTGTAATGTCCACAACAGAAGTGAAGGCCTCTGGGGTTTTGCATTTAGCAGACCTTACCGAGTTACGAAGGAAGAAAGGCCCCGATCCACTGTGAGTGATGGTATGCTTGATAAATGGAATTTGGAAACCTGTCCTGCATTCATAAATGACTCGAATGTAATACGTAAGTACAAGGAGCTCTTTACAGGGACAGCAGTTAAGGTAGCCTTAAGGTACATCGTCTGAAGCAACAAAGGTGCTCAAAATCGAGGGGTACGAAAAAGCTGTTCCGATGACGTTTTAGCTCAGTGAATGATATTCCGAGATAGCCAGTGTTCTAGGATCTTGATTTCAAATCAATAATTGGTCGAGAGTTGTAGACTCGAGTCACTTGACTTGGACTTCAGTCGGACTCTGGTCGCTATTGTTGTAACTCGTGAACTGACTTGTAACTATCGGTTTATGACTGTGACTTGACTGGACTTGTAAAAAAATTGACTTGAGACTTGACTTGAAGTTGACTTGACTTGGAGTTGACTTGACTTGACTTGTAAAAAAAATGACTTGTGACTTGACTTGGACTTGCACATTATGACTTTGTTAACAACGCAAGTCAGAAAACTATGCAATCAAACCCATTAGATTTACGTTACATCTGAATCACAGGGTCATTGTAGTCTTGCAAATTTGTCCGGCGGTTATTTTCCTCGACTTTCCGAAGGAGTTAGTCAACAGCTTCATTAATTTTGAGCCTTGTATTGAATTATTTATATCAACTCATGGCGTCACTCAGCCTAGAATTGAAAACAAAAATTGCGTCCGAAGTTCGAAGGCCGAAACTTTCCGCGTAAAATGCCGCGTTTAGGTGCTTGTAACATGCCTTCAAGACCAGCTAATAGATTATTTTTTTATAACAAAAACCCATATACCCATATTGTGACATTTCTTGAGCATCGATCCGGTAAATCTCCAGTTTGGGAAGAAATGGGCCAAATTTGTGGTACTAAAGCGAGCATATATATTGTACATGTTGACCGTATACCCGTGCAACAGATGTGCGACACGACAACATTGAATTAGACCTTTTTCCTGTGATGTCACGATCGTGCTGGACCTATGATGCGTTGTGATGGTAATAAGGGCATAGTGTTGTGATGGTAATCTACCTATTCAAGTTAAACTAATCAAGCATGCAGCGTTCACACGTGCGCTTGCACGTGGTTGAAGCTGCCCGTAGGAATATAGGCGATCACCGCGGCCAAGGCTGTCCGCACATGGTGGTATTGTTTACATTTAGTTATGTGGGTGAAAAAGGTCTGTTGCTCAAATATTTTGGTTATCTGCGCTCATGGCAAGTTTTTTGGCTACTGTTCCAGACTATAGAAGGATATAATGTGAGTGCTTAAGTCAACGTATCTTTAACAAAATGTTAAACATGATGTCGGTCGATGTTTCAGTTGGAAAACATTATTCGTGAACGTGAAGCGTATTCAAGGGTTGAAGGATTTGGCATAACTTTCGCCAATCAACATGGACTGGTCCCCGTCCCTATTTATAGATGGACCGATAGCTAACTGCAGTTTAACATGTGCGATTAGCCCTCTCAATTTGGATGCTGAATATTCACATTTTTGTCAGGCCAGTAGCGATGCTTAGCATGAATTACGTTTCAGCGGTAAGGCGAATAAATCGCAAGTACCTGTCCTTTCTAATCCTCTGTTGATCAAAGTGTGGTAATTATTTTTTCAGTGAACATCATCTATAAATTATTTTACGGTAATTTATTTCCAATCAGTGATTGTTACAGTAAATTTTTGAATACAATTTATGGCGAAGTTATTCTAAGTAACGAAGAAGAAAAGATGACATATTCTTTCCGATCCTGCTTGATTTATATGT